CCATCCCAGCAGTAATAACCATTGTTTCCTAGAAGAACCCTTTGTGATCCGAAACAAAGCGGATCTCGATGGCTTTTTTGAGCATATTACTGCTAGGGATATTTTGGAGTGCGCCCGGCAGGAAAGACCCAATTCTAGATGGGTAGTGGAGATCATAACTAATGCTACGTTCTACGTGAGTAAACTGAAAGGCCATCCTATCGGTGGTGATGGGTTTTTACCGCCTTATATTGTGAACAACAAGGGCTTGATCGCGCTGCAGGGGGATCAGAATGGGGTGTATAACGACAATTTGTGCGTGTTCCGCTGCCTTGCTTTGCACCGGGGGTGGCCCGTCTTTCAGTTAGAAAAAACAACCCAACACCTCTTTGAAAAGTACACAGCTGACACGGGATGCCAGGTCAAAGGATTCGAGGGTGTAACGTTCGACAAACTCAAAACACTCGAAGATCTCTTCGAAGTGAACATTGTGGTGTATGAGCTGCAGGAGACAGAAGATGGAGCGACCTTTGCTGAACTCGTGCGGCGGTCGCTGAGCAGGTATAAAGAAACCATGTACCTTAATTTATATGAAAACCACTTTTCATACATAAAGGACATGGGGAAATACACCACTTCTTTTTCCTGCTCAAAATGCGCTAAAATGTTCAAACATAAAGGTCACTTACATGTTCACGAACGGACATGTGAATCCAGCGTGGAACATCGCTTCCCTGGGAAAGCTTATGCACCGCAACCGACAATCTTCGAAGAGTTGGAAGACGAAGGTATCGTGGTTCAGCAAAAAGACAGGTACTATCCATACAGAGCCACTTTTGACATCGAGTGTCTGTTGCCAAAACATAGCCAGCCTGGGCAGAGCGAAAAACTTCACTTGGAAAATGAACATCAGTTTCTCAGCGTAAGTGTATGCAGCAATGTTCCCGGTCACATGAAACCCAAGTGTATTATATCCAACGGTGAGCCATCCCAAGCCGTCGAAGAGTTTATCAACACTTTACAAGATATAAGCCGCGCAGCGGAAAGGATTCAAGCAGACAAATTCGCTTGGGTATTTGAAAGACTCGACGCTAAAATTGAAAAAGACCTGGAAAAGACCGAGGAAGAGAACTGTAAGGATGAAGACGCATCGAGAAACAAACATTACTTAGCAAAACTTAGTCGAAAATTTAACAATTATTTAATGGAACTACCTGTTTTAGGATTCAATAGTGGCCATTACGACTTGAATGCCATGAAGTCGTTGTTTTTTCCACTCTTGTTAAATACTGAGGGAATACGTTTTGTTGTAAAGAAAAACAATAACTTCATGGTGCTCAAGTCCGATCGATTAAAAATCTTAGATATTAGACATTACTTAGCCCCAGGGTTTAGCTATAGTCAATTTTTAAAGGCTTTTGAATGTTCTGAGTTAAAAGGATCCTTCCCCTATGAATGGATGGATACCCCTGATAAACTGGAATGTCAGCATCTCCCTCCCATAGAAGCGTTTTATTCACACTTGAAACAGAGCAACATCAGTGAGGAGGATTATGCGTTGTGTCAACGCGTGTGGTATGAAAACCACATGCAGACGATGCGCGACTTTCTCACCTATTATAACAACAAAGACGTTGAGCCAATGTTGGAAGCGGTGGCTAAAATGTTCGCCTTCTACCAAGAAAGAGGTATTGACATGTTCAAAGATGGTATTAGCGTACCAGGCTTAACAATGAAATACCTCTTTCAAAATGTAGGGGACGCCTATTTTAGCCTCGTGGATGAAAAAAATAGTGATCTTTATTATATTTTGAAAAACGCCATCGTGGGCGGGCCCAGTCTCATATTCCATCGTTACCACGAAAGAAACAAAACCTTTATCAGACAAGCAACTTCAAATACACCCAAGCGTTGCAAAAAAATCATTGGGTTCGATGCTAATGCTCTCTACTTGTGGTGCTTAATGCAGCCCATGCCAACCGGTACGTTTATACGCAGGCACGAAACCACTGAGTATAAACGCGAGTATTCCCATCCCCACGGAAGAGAAGCAACGATGTGGTTGGACTGGGTCGCTCATTCCAACAATATACGTATCCAGCATCAGTTCAACGGCACCGAAAAACGCATAGGCTTTAAACCCCGGCTGCCTGTAGACGGATTCTGTCGAGATACGAAGACCGTGTATCAATACCACGGGTGTTATTTCCACGGCCACAAATGTCATCTTAATCAAAACAAAGATGGCACTTATAAAATTATGAATGATACCAAAAAAGTTTCTATGTCCTCACTGCGAATCCAAACAGAAGAAAATAGTAATTACATCCGAGAACAAGGGTACAATTTGGTAGAAATGTGGGAGTGTGACTGGAAAAGACTTCAATGTGACAACGATGAAGTGCGTGCGTTTACAGATCGGTACACGCTTCCCACTGAAAGCAAACGTAAACTGAAATTCGAAGATATTTTAGATGCTGTTCGTGATGATAAATTGTTTGGATTCGTCGAGTGCGACATAGAAGTGCCGCCCGCACTCCGATCGACATTCTCCGAAATGCCGCCCATATTTAAAAACACCACCATTACTAGAGACGATATTGGGTCGTATATGAAACAATTTGCCCAGGAAAATAATATCATGAGCACCCCTAGAAAATCCTTGATAGGGAGTTTTTTCGGTGAAAAAATACTGCTGGCCACACCCCTTTTGAAGTGGTATTTAGAACACGGTCTTCGAGTCTCTCGTGTCTATCAGGTGGTCGAATATACACCCAAAGCCTGTTTTGAACATTTTGGCAATGCTGTTAGTAACGCTCGAAGGGAGGGAGATAAAGACAAATCAAAAGCAATTGTAGCCGACACCATGAAACTCATTGGCAATTCGGGATATGGGAAAACCGTGACAAACAAAGAAAAACATCTTGATGTGCAATATTGCGGTGAAGCAAAGGCCTCTCGTAAAGTGAACGACCCTCGCTTTAGGCGTTTAGATCAAATCACTGAAAGCACGTACGAGATCGAGTTGAATAAAAAAGTCATCAAGTTTGACTTACCTGTTCAAATAGGTCTCATGGTGTATCAATACGCCAAGCTGCGCATGTTACAGTTTTATTATGACTTCATGCTGAAATTCGTAGATCCATCCGATTTCCAATATTGCGAGATGGACACGGATTCTGCTTATATCGCCTTCTCGGCAGATAGCTTGGAAGCCGTGATAAAACCTGATATGCGTAAGCAGTACGAAGCAGAAAAACACCTCTGGTTCCCGCGCACAGACACACCAGAACACGAGGCCTTTGATAAACGAACACCCGGATTGTTCAAAGCAGAGTGGATTGGTGACGGTATCGTTGGCCTTTGTAGTAAAACTTATTATTGTTACGGCGATGATATAAAAGCCAAGTTTAGTTGTAAAGGTGTCAATAGGAGATGCAATGATATAGACAAAACCAAGTATTTAGATGTATTATTCAATAAAAAGAGTGGTAGTGGTGTAAATAGGGGTATCAGGTTATTTAATAACACTATGTACTCGTATGTACAGAGACGTGATGCATTTTCGTATTTTTACGGTAAACGCAAAGTCTTGGAAGACGGTGTTTCTACTGAACCGCTTGATATTTAGTTCAATGTAAATATTCTTCAAATAAAACATGTATAACTGTTTCTGTTGTGTTTACTGTATGGGACTTCCGCATGTGCGCTTAACTGTTTGGAGTGTAAACCATTTAGACATATATTTGATACGCCTGTTGGANTTTTTATGGAGAAATAGGAAGGGGCCACGTGATGCATATTTCCACCAAAACTCATTCCTCGTCTGCATATTTGAAGCAATAAATTAGCTTGCGGTTTTCAAATTCATTGCATTTAGGACAAATTTGTATAATAATAGGTTTAATAGAAATACCTGTGCTGTGAGATAATCCAAGACATGGCATAAGCTTTTAACCTAGATTTAGGAGTTTTCAGTAAAATTTCGTCGCCAAACCTCATTATTTTGAGTTTGATATGGGCATTATACGACTACCATTCATTTCACACCAGGACATTTAATTAATCAAAAGCATGTGGCTACTCTCCTAAACTGTTCGCTCCATTATTTTTCATAAGGACAAATGTCATTTTCTTGCATTTTTTCCATCAATGTAATAATAATAATAATAATAATAATAATAATAATAATAATAATAATAATAATAATAATAAACATCTTGAAATGACGTTTCTAGAAATCAATTACTAATGTCAACCTTTCTCTTTTTCTTTCTCTCTCTGTCTCTCTCTCTCTCTGTATCTCTTTATATCTCTCTCATTCTCTATATATCTTTCTACATAAGTAGACCTATCCAAATGACATGGGACTTGAGATTATATCTATGTTTGAGAGAGAGAGAGAGAGAGAGACTGGCGTTTTTCTCACTTTATATTTTATTCTACATAACTAGACCTTATGTAGTCTTTCTACATAAGTGACATGGGTCTTAAGACTAAAAACTTAAGACTATACCGGTAGTTCTATGTTTGAGAAGGGCATAGTGCTTTCCATTTAAACACTACTTTGTGTAGAAAAAGAATTATCCATTTTACGTTGATACTGTATTATAATTCTTCGTTCTTAGCGTATTTCATTCTCGTGCAAAGTATGCTAACTACCAGTATTGTTCAATGCGCTTTAGAAATAGACGAGCCGCTATCGAAGTAAATTCCCCATATCTCTGTTTCAGTCTATCTCAGAGAAAGGTTTTATTTTATTTATTTCTTTATTTATTTATTTATTTATTCTATCATTATATACTGTTTTATTTAAGTGTGAAGGTTATCAAACTTTGTAAAACGTCAGGTAAAAGTAAGAAAGTTGAATAAACTTTCTCCTCAAATTGCAAAATGCTTCACACCTTACAACCTCTGTACACATATTTAACAAATGGTATCAGTTCACAAGGGGCAGAAACTTGAGGGCAAGGGGCAGAAACTCAAAAATAAATCGTGACAGTACAAGTCGCATTGCTCTCTGAATTTCACATAAACAGCACTATCATTTTATTTCACATAATTCCACATTCTAATTTACCAAGAAATTCCAAAGTTCATTCCATGTGATATAAAGGTATATTTCTAATGTCAATAAAGGGAGGAAAACGTGAAACACTGTTTGTAGTCCTTTTTCAGAGCTATTGCAGATCAGGGTCGAACTCTTTGCGATCAATCTTGCCGTCATCATTGGCGTCCATGTCGTCAAATGCAGCGTTAATATCTGTGTATCCCTGTAGGACATTGCTGAACTCATCCACGTTTATATAACCATCTCTAAAACATAACAAATCCTGATAAACGCTACGTGCGGTAGGCCACGCGACAGAGGAAGCCTTAACGAAGCCGAAAAGTGTTTTAGGCTTTTTTCTCAAGCTATTCACATGAAGTGTTCTATTTTCGTAGATTTGCGGTTGAATAATCTTGTTACAATGACAGTGAACCACGCTAGACACGGTCAGCTACTATAAGAGACTAACTTTTTTAAACTGATTTACACTCAGTTACGCCATATTTTATGTGTTATGGGCTCGTGTACCAGGTTAAAATTCTGAAGAAAGCAAACTTGTGAAAGCGAGTGAAGCTCCATGTTTAACCAAGGAGTTGGAAAAATTCTTGATTTAGTTTAACGAACCTGGAACAGGCCCCTAAAACACCTGTTGTGAAAAAAAAAAACAACAACATTTGATCTGAATAATTTGCCTTGAGAGACGAATAAAAAAGTTCGTAAATATCAAAACAGTTGAAACGTAAATTTGTATTAGGCTTATGTAATTTTCATGTACATCTGAAAGCCACAGTATGGGTCTACATGTATGTGAACATGCGTGATTGGGTGGCATGTGAAGTTGACGGTGTTGGTACTAGTACCGACATCCGGGCTCCGTATCTCGAAAGGTTCGCTATGTTGCGCACGTGTGTTAGTGTCTCGATTCCATAACCGATTCTATTTCGAGATACGGGGCCATGAAATCGAGACTCACTTGCACGTACGCAAGTGTCTCGCTTCCATGGCCCCATACCAAATGAGTTACATTCCCCATATGAACAGTGAGGGGATGCCTGAAATATAAATCGTGAATTAATTAATCTCTCTCTCCCTCTCTCTCTTTATCTCTGCTCAATCCTCCTCCTACACACGCTCACCAACACGGCGCACGCATACACACACACGGGTACACACACACACGGGTACACACACACGTACATAATGGTTTCCAGGCGACCATTTACGTATTGCATTTCAATTTCAATAACTTAAATGTACGGTGTCATTTTTTCTTTGTAATGCTAAGTTCACCTTATACCATACATGTGTTGTGAATGTGTTACGTATGCACTTCCCGAGAAAATACCCCGGTTAATACACCGGTTCTAGTAGACCCACCTTCGTGCAGTCTGCGCAGAAACCCCTCTTCCCTTTGCCGCAGCAGAGAGATTCAGCTTGC